AGAGTGAGTCAGAAGGGGCCTCCTGGGCCATCTCGTCTGACCCCCGGCTCCAGCTGGCTCTGCTCACGACATGCCTATATGCATGTTTAGCCTATCTTTGAACACCCTCACCGATGGGGCCTCAACCACCTTCCATCAGGAAAATGATTGGTCTGGCAACTTACTACAAACAATAGTACAGACCTTAGTAGAACAGCAGAGATTAGTAATAACAGAAAAATTGAGTAAGGTAAGATACCTTTTTCACCCCATAAAAAGCAACAGTCAAATAAAGAATCACATTTATATTTTTGTAAGGATTGAATCACATTAGTGAACATGTTTGACCCTGCTTTAAACAATAAATAAATTCAGGTTTTAAAATGGCCATTATGTTGGCAAAGTAATTGTCTAACTCCTAACAATCACTTAGAGAAGAACACACATAAAAGCACAATACTTTACAGTTTAAAAACAAGTTAATTTGCGCAGAAGATGCTGCAAACTTTAGATGTTTTGAAACACTGGTCTTCCTAAATTTAGAGCAGGTTGCACCTAGGATTCTGACCAATATTTTATTCAGCAACACCCTCTAGTGATCTACAGGAGAAAGACATCATGAAAAAAACTAGCCTTTAGACACCTTCAGTGATGGGTTGGCTAAAACTGCAGAACGAGGGACTCTGTTGGCTGCATCCCAAGCTGGCTTTGGTTCAACAAGGCAAGGCATGGGCGAAGCAGAGCAGACTCCTCAATGCTGCAGCGGAGACCTGAGCCAACTGCTCCCTCTGTGCCTCCCTCAAGGAAGGAGAGAGAGGACTTATGCTCAAGTCAGCAGCTCACTTGCCCTCTCCCTGGAGACAAGGACAGGCCTTGCACGAGGCCTTATGGGCACAATGGGATGGCCTGATGGGCCAAGGTTCCTCACTAGAGCCCTAAAGACTGGTTCCACAGTGTGGGGATTCTTATCGCTCCCCTTCTTGTGGTTTGGCAGGCCTCTGTAGTTTTAAGTGCCCTGTATCACCTTCAGTGGATAGAACTCCTGCAACTACACCTACAGGGGGATAGCTTGGCCACAAATCCCATGTTCTGGCACCCTCTTGCTTAGCCTCTACAATGCACTTTGTGTGGTGCAGCCTGAAAAACAATCCAGCAATTGAAGTTGGTCCAAAATTCAGCCACAAGTTACAGGGAGATTTAAATTAATATGGCAGTCTTTTGCCGCTGGCTTCCAGGCTCAGTTTAAAGAGTACTCTTAAGCTTTAAAGGAGGTATGAGCAACACTTGGCCCATGGGCTAAAGCCACCCCCCCCCACCGCCACTCATCATTGCCTCCAACACTTTAAAAGTGTTCCCCCACCCAAATATGGCTCCCATAGCAGGAACAGAACACCCAGACAACCAAATGTAGCTAAATTTTGCCCTTTAGATGCTCCATAACTACTATGGAATGCCAAAGGGGTTGCATTTAGCTTGGAGAGAGTGGAGCCTGCACTGGGGAATGAATATGGACACCAAACTCCAGCAGTTGTCCACTTTAGTTTTAGAGCCCACAGTCCTCCAGTGACCCCCTGATGCTGGAACTCCTGCAAAGTCTGCTGGAGCAAGTGGACAATGGTGTGGCACTTCTTGTGCACTTCAGAAAGCATACACAATCAGGCCCTTCCACATGGATTGGTTATGTCTTACATTCCATTAAAAATTAAGAATGCATTCTAGTTTCACATTATTTAAAAAAATAATGAAACATTCCAGTACAAAAGGAGTTTAGACTGTACCCAAATTATAAATCATTCCTGTTAGGTTCTTTACTGCTCTTCAACTCTGACTTAATATTAAGTCATTATTAAGGACCAATTATTTGTCCAGTTTGAAGCAGGAAGTACCATAATCCATAAGGCAAAGGCCACCTATGTGCTAATATTTCCAGAACACCAGCTTAATTGATATTAAAGGTTCTGCATTTTGAGCAGAGCTCGTCTTGTATCACTGTTATGCATTCAACCTATTTCTTAGCCAGCTTTCCAGACCCAAGTCTTCTCAAGGTGGCTTACAACATGATCCTGTCAAAAAAGATAAATGTTGCAGGGCACTAATTGGATTCTACAAAAAAGTTTCATAACATTATTCTTGACATTCAAATCAGTTTAAAGGAAAATATTTCCAGACAAAGGAATAATGGTCTCAGGGTCTTAGGATAAATGAGATTATCTTTGGTCTACAGAGCTACAGAAAATGGCATTCAAGATCAAGGACTTCTACAGGGGATGCAAACAGTAGTAATAGTGAAGACCTACTCATGTAGTAGGGATGCCAGATAATCAAATTCGAAGCAGGTATTGGCCTGGCATTTTTCTTGTAGGATGTCCAGGACTTACTGGGTTGAAGCCATTGTCCCAAATCTGTAATGCTGTTATTACTACAACAGTTGAATTAGCATCTAGCAGAATAAGACTGATGACTGGTTAGTACATATAAAGAACACAAAGAAGATGGTTATGCTGAAACATTTAGCAGTGAAAAGAAAAGGAAAGTAGGAGCTGATCAGCCTGGCTGTGTTCAAACATAATGGCAAGCCATGGGAGGAATATCTTTTTGCTGTGTGTGAATTCAGTGAGCAGGGTGAAGGGTGGCATGTTTGGCTACCTTGTATCCCGAGGGAGAATCAAAGGTCTGTTCTAAGGTTTCCACAGTTCAGCACTGTTTGTTGTTATGTATGAAATCAGTTCTGATTTCTCCAGTTTCTGCATTTCTGCCATCAAGTTTGGCAGCGAGGGTGGCTGCAGCAGCAGGTTCTCCAGCCGCCATTTTTGACTGTCCTCGTCTGCATAGCAACTGCCGAAGCAGCTGCAGCCACACTGCCTTGCACTGCTTTTTCCTTCTATCCACACATTGCCTTCCCAGTGCTTGGCTGCAGGACGACGACGCACAGCACCACCTCCAGCAGCAGTGACCCTGCAGACGGGCACGCTGGGCCCTCCTGGCTGGCCACTGCACTCTGCTGGAGCGGTGCTCTGCTCAGAGAGCCAGCACTCTCCTCTTGTGAAGGCAGCTTTGCCCAACAGGGGCTCCCTGGCCGTATGTGGGCAGGGCCATCACAGCAACCACCAGGTCTCCCCTGCCCTCCCCACCACCCACTCCTATCTTGCCCCTAGATTTCCCAGTGACGATCAGCAAGCCCCACTTTCCCCGCCCGCTGCCTCAGCCGTCTGGCAAACACATTCCTTCTGGTCAGATAGAAAACTTTCCCAGGTAGACACCCAAATGTGCTTCCATGGGAAACTATTCCCACAGGACATGCTTCCCTATTCCTGGCTTGGGTGCCCACACAGGTGCCCTCTGTGGAGCCAGGTGCATGGGTGGTGGCCCCTGGCAGTGTGTGCAAGTCCTGCGCACAGGTGTGTGTGGACACATGTGCCGCCAGGAAGGGGGCGGTGGGTGTGCTTGCACATGCTAGTGCAGAGCAAAGCAGCAGCAGGGAGCGTGTCTGCTGTGCTCCTCTACAGCAATGGTGCCCTGAAAGATTGCCAAGAAATAAATACAGTAATTCCTCGGTTCACGAACGCTTCCGTTCGCAAACAATTCGGTTCACGAACAGAAAGTCTGGCAACATTTTGCTTCTGTTCACAAATTCCACATTGGGTGATGAACACAATCGCAGCCATCTTCCCTGCATGAATACGATCGGGCCATTTTCCCCGCACTGTGACCATGTGTCAGAGCGAGTTTGAGTGGGGAAGATAGCCATGATCGTGTTCGTGCAGAAACACAAATGTGGCCATCTTCCCCGCTCTGACACGTGGTCGCAGCTTCCTCTAGTCGAGAATGCAGTCATTGTTTTCCCTCCAAACAATAACCTCCTCCCCACCCACCTTCCTGTCCTCCATGCCAGAAGTCACCTCAAGCAAGATTAGTGTTGTCTCTCATCACACTCTACTGTACTGTACTTTGTTTCATATTTTTGTGGTTAAAAATATTACATATGGTTCAGAACAGAGTAACCTTATTTACATTGAACCTTATGGGGAAATATGAATTGGTTCGCAACCAATTCGGTTCATGGCCAGAATCATGGAACGAATTAAGTTTGTGAACCTAGGTACCACTGTAATTACATTAGATGCAAGACTTTGGCCCACTGAATTCTGAGGAAAGCCTATCTCTTCCTAATTCCCTTATTTTACTGCAACACTGAAATAAAACAATGAAAGGGAATGGAAAGTAATACACGTACAGTCCCCTGGTCCAAAAACAGTGGAAATGAACACTTCTTTCTTTAACCGTGTTCCCATCAATGACAGAGAAGCAATAGCAAAGGGTGTGGATCCCGTCTCAACTTCCTGTGAAATGTTCACAGGGAAAGTGTAATAACTTCACCATGAGGGAAGACCAGCTTCTCTCTGCAAACTACACACAGGGAAGTATGGTCAGTGGGAGATTCCTCACCCGTCCTGCAGTCTTCTTCTACTTTAATCTTGAGTAAGCATATTTGGCTTCTGGGCCTAGATTCCCTCACCCCCTAGGACTCTTTTGCCAAGAACCCCACAGAAGGCCCAGTGGCACCTGTGAGCAGGTCTTCAGACTGAGAACATTCCATTTTGTTTGGAGTGCCTCTCCAACCAACCACTTATTTCTCTTTTCCTTATGAGCACTGCAGGAAGAAACATCCTGGATAACTGTATTAAATATAATAAAGTTATAAAAACAAAGAGAGGAAAACACTTAATGCAGAGGCAGGTGGCTTTGTGTAGAAATAAAAACTTCTAACATAGTTTCCTGATCTATCTGGTGCAGAACAGCTGCAGGACTTAACCGAGTGTGGAAGTCACTATCTTGAGAAGAGTTTCAGAGTCAGTTTCGCCTTTCCCATGTATTGCTATTCCAGACACTACAGACTTCTGATGGAATGGCAAGGAATGCTGAATATCAGACTACTGTTTGAGGTAAAAACAACAACCAAGCGCTTGTGCTGCAACATAGACTCTTCCCAATATGAAATAGCAATAAATCCTACCACCACCTCACTTTGTACCACATTTTTTAATTTATTCATCTTTCCTCTCAAAACACACACTTGCTCTTCTCAATTTGTTTCCCCATTGTGGAAAAAAGTTGACTGGAAAGAAGAAACGGGAAGTTGGTCTGATGGTCTACCAAGGCCAGGCCAGGCCAAGTCAAAGAATGCAGATCCTTGTCTGTTCTGCTCAGGCAAGAGCATGGAAGTGACAACGCTTTCTGTGTCTCGTCACCACAGCCCCTCGCTTCTTCAGCCATCAGCTGAGGTCCTCCTCTAAGAGTCTGGCAAAGGCGGCTCCCTGCTGGGTGCCTTCACTGTCACAGCATGCAGATATTTCAGTCGAATGGCAGGAAGCTGTTCATAAAGATCAAAGCCCACTGGGCTATCTTTATTTGGACATTTGTAGTAGAGAAGATGCCTCTTTAATGCCTAAAAGGAGTAACAGGAAATGGAGAATGGTGGAAAAGCAAGTTATTTTCCTTCCCAGCATAGCCCATATTCCAATACAGCCCAAAACCTGAGTCAATCGGTCTTTCAGTATAAGGCATTAAGGGAGGAGGGGCTTAGACAAGGAAAATGAATAATAGTCACTTAGGTGCTACGCTCAAATCACAGGAAGTTCACACAGTCAGAATATCTGCTGTGAGGAAATTGCATTCAACCACTGATGTAATTAACTGCAATACTGGGTTGCTAGTACTTTCCCCCATCAAGTACACCCATTTCTGGCTCCACTCCTCTTTGTACCTATATTTATATTATATATTATAATATATATAATTTTATTTTATGCATTTATTTTTATGATGATCATGAAGGGGATTTTAAATTGTTTACAGTAGTTAATTATTTATCAAATCAGTAACCCTTATAATAGTGCTTGTTGTATCACCACGTCACTTTTAGTAGGTTGCTGAAAACACTCTAGTACAGGCTTCCCAGCCTGTTTTGAACTTCGGCCTTCAAGTCCAAATATCTGGAAGGCACTGGGTTGGGAGAAGTTTGCTCAGGGGAACTGGCTGAATTGAGGTTTGAACTAGATAATAACCTTGTGATAATACTGTACCAAACAAATGCCTGCAATTGTTCCTTCTATTTTACAGCATGTGTTTATCCATTTTTTAAAAAATTATCCAACTGGTCACACAGAAAGTACATTCTGTTGAACATCATGGACCTGGAAGTCCAGGTATCAAGAGCTGTTTCGCTAGTTAGGCACTGTAGTCCTCAGTTGCAGCTACAGGAAGGAACAAGGGTGCACAGAGTTGCGCACGGTTTTGCGCAGTGTTCCCCAAGTGGACTGTTCCTTTCTACAGAAACTGTGGCTTCCTTGTTCTGCTCTTAGAACTAGGAAATAAAATCAGTATGGAAAACAGCACAGTTGACAGTGAAAGTCAACACAGACAGTCTTTCCTCCTACCTCATCTGCCAAGAGCCAGGTTTTCTGGAGCAGGGTTTTGCGGGCAGCATCTACCTCCTGAGACAAAATACAAGATATGTTAGAAGTAGGACATCTTTATAGTTTCCTTCTTAAAAGCAAGAACTCTCTAACTCTTCAGTCCTCCCAAAAGAATTTTCTTTGTCATCACAGACACTGCAATTTGCTAGAGCTAAAATCTTTACAGCTTACATAGGAACCTTTTTATTCTTCAAGTGAAAAGTCTGGGTTGCAAAGAAAAGCCAGCAAAGATGCTTTTTCTTGCTCAGGCTGCTGTTTCTGGATTAGCTTCTTGGAACATTAATATTCTTTTGGCATGCCTAAGAAGTAGCCTGTGGCCCATTAAGAATTCTATTAACTCTGGGCATTAGACCTCAAAAGATCCAGGTTACTTGCACAGTGGCAAAGCAAAGATAGAGCCATGGTCCTACTAAGCATTCCCTGCAACACCCAAGAACAGCTGCCACAAGGCAAAAACCGATTTGGCCTCCAGGCCCCAGTGCTGCTCCCAGATCTTCCATAAAATCCCCCTCCCTCCCTCTCTCCCTCCCTCCATGTATGTGTATATGAATTTTTATATAATTTATACCCAGTTTGCTATATCAAGCATATACTCAAGGACATAAAATATATTAAAATATCAGAGCAATTGTAAGAACACTTAAAAGCAGTAATTTGAGGGAACTGTAGGATGTAAAAAAATAGTCTCTCCTTGAAAAATGCCACTTTCCAACACCCAATTAAAAGTTAAGACAGGTGTGGGAGACCATTCCACAATCTGTCTGCCACAACCAAAGCGGCCCTTTTTCTCAAACGTGCACCTGCCAAACTTCTAGGGGAGCTGCAGGGGAAGAGGCAGGGCTCAGAAACAGGGCTAAGTTCTCAGTGGCATATTTATACAGAAGGTAGCAATTCTTGAGATACCATTTGAAGCCCTAAATAACCTTGCAGCAAGGTAAAATCAGCACCTGAACTGAGCCCAGGAAGAAGTTGGCAACTGGTGAAGCTAATGGTCAACAGCATATGATCTGGGAACCCAGCAGCTGTACTTGAGACAATCCTCCAGACTATGTTCAAAGACAATCCCCAACCCGCCCCCCCGCCCCCATTTTATTATGTTTAAAAATCCATTTGCAAACTTCTCTAGACACTGGAGGACAAAACATTTTTCAGAATTTTCCAACTGAATCTCAGTTGCTTTCTGCCCCACTGGTGGCAGGAAGACATCAAAAGAGTACCAAGGAAGAGGCCTGTGTGTGTGCGATACAACCAGTTGGTGGAAAAACCGAATGCAGCATGGGCAGACTCTGAAAAATCATCACATACCTGCGTGGTGCTATCCTGGGAGAAAATGAAACTGTTGACATGGGCCACAGCAACCACATACAAAACAGGGCACCACTTCTGTCGCAGAACCCCTGTGACCAGGGTCTGGAAGTACTGCCGTAAGAGATTCAGATTGTCCTCAGGGGGGGAAAGGTACTGCTCCAGAGGGAGGGAGAACTGCAACAAAAGCAGGAAAGTGACATTACAAACCCACAAACCCCGCACTGTCCTGTGCATCAAGAAAAGATAACGTGATCGGTTTTAATTAGGCGAGTGGGAAAGCAGGATGTCCAGGATGGGAGGCCCCTCAGGTACAGGGGACTCAGCTGGCCTGAGCTCAGGGCTGAGAAAAATCAACCTCACTGAGGCCTTGGCTATTACAGTGAGTTAAATCTTACAGGGTGCATACAATTAAGGCCCAAGATGCCACTGAAGCTTTCTCTTCCTTATGCTGCTATATATCTTCCTTGTTGAACATTTCCCATTAGCTCTCCCGTTTTGGAGACACTGCAGGACTGTGCAAGAGTTTTTTCCAGGTATACATCTGGCATCGTTTCCTGTATCTCCAGGTTTCCCAGCAACTCTGCTACCCCAAGCAAGGCCTTGGGGCACCAAAGGATGGTTCCCCAAGTGACCCAGGGCCCTGACTGCAAGGCTGAAAGAAGCATCCTCCTTGCACAGCAATGTGAATCAGACTTATAGGTCCAAATTTAACTAGGCCACATTTTGCAAATACAAATGAGTTAAGGACTCTTGCACAGGATAAGGTGACTGTTAATTCAGGGAGAGCACGAAAGAATTCACTTCTCCACTGAGGACTCAGTAGCTGCCATTGCTCATGTTCAATCAGGCTGGGACTAGGATTGGAGCAAACACAGCATTGTCCATAGTCTGCTGCATGCAGGGCTGTGCCCTCCCCAGGCAGAAAGTAGCTTCTGCCCTCTTTGCATCTCCCATTTGCTGCCCATGTCCCCTCTGAAGAAGAAATCTGTATCAGGGCAGCGGAGACAGTAGTGGGTGCTGTGTGTGACAGGGAAGCATAATTCTCCCTCTGTATGAGGCCTGCAAATCCCAGCACCTGTGGCAGGAAAACAACCTGCCACAAGGCGGCTCGAAAAGGGCCTTCTGTCCAGTAGGAAAGGCACACAGAGAACTACCTGCTGAGGAAAAGAAATGCATCCCTCATGGGGAAGACACTCCAAGACCATTAGAAGAGTCAAGCTGGATCAGACCGAGGGTCCCTCTGGTTCATTGTTCATACAGTGGCCGACCAGATACCCTAATAGAAAACCCAGTCAGGACATAAGCTGTCTGCTCTGCTAGGATCAGGAGTGCTAATCCCTTCTACCCACTTCAAGGAAGGCCCATGGGGAAGAAATGGAGGTGAACACTTGCAATGTACAGAAAAACTCAACAGCTTTTGGAATATGCAAATCGACACTCACAGCCCTATAGCTCTCATCTTGGCCCCACTATACTTCTCTGGTCATCCATTCTCTGAATGGAGCCTAAGCAGCTCTGGGAGACTTGCCTCTTTGAGCGGAACCCCCAGTGCTCTCAAGGTGCTCACATGCTCTCCAAAGACAGCCAATCTTAGCTGAACGCTGAACCTTCTCTGTAGGGGAAGAAGCACAAAGGCACCAAAGAGAGGGTCTCCAAAGGAGACTCCTTCAAACTGTTCCAGGAGGTTGATGTAGAGGTCATGAAATGAAGCCAAGCCAGGAAGGGGAGCATCCAAGTTCAAGGAGGCCTGGACTTTGGAGTGACAATAAAGTGAGAGCAGAGCCGCTGTATAGCAGTGGACAGGACCTTCCAGGAACAAGTCACTGCCTGTGAGGAAGACACACATGAGCCTTGCCAGTTTGGCTGCGGCTGAGATGTCCTGAAGGGCTTTGGCTCTCCAGGTCTCCAACAGGAGGACCAACTGCAGGTTCCGGGTCACAGTGTTGACTAGATCCACAGGAAGACAAGTTGGCACGGCCCACTGCATTTCTGCACCAGTTACTTTATTATAGAGGTTGATGAGAGGAAGGAATGGCCAGTCTGAAGGCAGGATGGGCCCTCTGACTGCAGGAAGAAGCATGGACTGGATGAGATGAGTTTGACCTTGGTAAATATTTCTGGAACGCACAAGAGCTGGCTCCAGGTAAACAAAATGAGATAGATAACAGGCTTGGATAAGCGGGAGGTGCTGGTATGCTTCTTCAAGTAAGGCACCACGAGTAGGGAGGGGAGAAATGGCAGCTGCTGAGCCCGGCTGGGTAGGTTTTGCCTTTGAGCTCAAGTGCAGAAGGTCCGAGAAGTCAGCAGCTTCAGGCCCTCCGGCTTTGCCTTCTCTGCAAAAAGGAGGAAACAGATGATAAATGTTGATGCTTTCTTTACTAATGTGATGGGAGACACATGACTATTGCTATTTCCTTATCTCTTTCCTACAGCCAAAAGTAATCCCCCATAGAGTGCATTATCTCTCGTTTACAAACAGAGAGGCAGCACTACTGAAAGGCACTGCCTTGAGGAAATGGATTGTTTTATTCAGAAAGCACATAAGAACATAAGAACTGCCTTGCTAGATTAGACCAGGGAGTCATTAGTCCAGCAGTCCAGTTCCAGCAGCAGCTAGATAGATGCCTCTGGGGAAGTTCACAAACAGGATATTCAAGGTGGCAACTATCCCACCCCCCATCACTTTTGTCTTCAGTACCTTGAATTCAAGAGGCTACTACATCTCCACACTGATGAAGTCTCACTTATGGTATCAGACCTTATCGCCACAGTGAGAGCTAGCCTTCAACAATTTGTCAAATTCTTTTAGAAGTCTGATCCTCAGCAAGTTATTCCAAAAACTAAGCTATTTCTTATGGATTTATTTCATCATGGGCAATGTCCCTCAGATGAATTCAGAACCAATTATAGACATCATTAGAGAACACAAGACAAAAGAACACCCCCTGCCCAAAGAAAATGAAACAAAAAGTTACTCTATTTTAGAGAAGTACATTTTCCTTCGCTCATTGTCGAAGTCTTAGATACTAATTCCTACCCAACAAAGCTTAAGAAACTTATCCAAATGAGAGGACTTTAAAATTCTGATTACTAGCAAAGCCCGGAAAGCTCTAATGCCTTGGGGAAAAGCCTGTGCAACGCTGCAAATCTGCATTTAACATAAATAATTTCAAAAAGTTCTACCATAAATTTAAAATATATCCTCAAGGTCACAGCTGAGTTCTCAGTTGAGGAAGTGGGGAAGGAGCAAAGCTGTGTGAGCTGCAACCCTGATTCACCTGTGCAAACTTTGGGGAGGGCCTCACCTAAGATTCTGCAGGCCAGAAGAAACAGCAAGCTAAATGTGGCCCACAAAACTAACAGCAAATACATAAAAGGCCACAGCAAATATGATATAGTATACTGTATAGATCAATATAAGGTAGAAGGTTTCTCCTTTTTCTCTTCATATTTTTGGAATCTATCTTTAAAATATCACTTTGGAAGTGTCCACTTGGTTTAGTGGCATTCTCCACATATCTACAGAAAACAAGCAATCCATAGTGTACTTGAGAATTATGATCTAGGCAAGTTTGCATTTTAAACCAGGCATTCATGAGGCTCAGTCGTATTGCTAATTGTTATTAAATTTATTATCTAAATGGAGAAACTGTGAAGTAACAGTGGGATTATTTATCATACCAAACATATTCACAGTACTGTTGAGACTCAGCATGAATGCAGGGAAATGCAAACACATTAAATTCTACATACATCCAAAATGGGGAAATGTTATCAAGCATCCATGAAATCAGAATGTAATACAGAGAATACTGTATTTGGACTAGGTGGATTTAAAACCATGCTTAGTCCTTATGCTTTGGGCAAATTACAAACACATACACACTGGCATTTTGAAGAATATAATATATTGTCAGCTCAGGGAAAAGATTAATAGCCTCTACTACCCGAGTAACAAACAAAAGCAGTGAAGTTGGTTAGGAGATTTAGAACAGCCTTCAGACATTGTAAAGTAGAACATGGAGACAGCATTTGTGCTTCAGTACAATAGGATGAGCTGTGTTAACAGCAGAAAGTCCAGCACAAGGGAACCTGGGCCAGTCTACTTTCCCCTTAGGCCACTTTAAACCTCTTCCTCCCTTCTTCTTTCACAAATGGTTCCCCACATCTAAACTTCAGAAAATGGTTATGCAATGGGAGTGGGGGCGGCAGGGAGACTTACGGGATCAGTTTGGGATTAAAAGCAAGACCCAATAGGAGTTCGTGAGCCAGGTGCTCGCTGCCTGGCAACAAACGATTTAACAATGCCATGGCAACCAAGTGATGGCATGAGGCATGCTGGCTGTAATCCGAACAAGTACCTGCCTGCAGAGGAAACAAAAGTCCAATATATAAACAAATTGCCACTGATTACATTGACACATGCACAGGGAGAGGGTGCAGAAATTAGGAAATATTTGGGAAGTCTTTAGATTATGGACAGTGGAGTATCGATTAAACAGATGAATTAGAACCTTAACATTCATTTCCTCCTGCTAAATTTAATACTTCTACATAGTTCCCAATTCTAAAAAACACAGTACAACCTTGTGTACCTTCGGCATGGCAAAACAAACATTAAGATGGAGACTTCACTTTGTCAGAACTGGGGTTTGGTCTCCCTGGTGCACAGGAGACCAGCTATCACTTTCACCTCATAGTTGATGGTCACAGAGCATGAACAGAATCCAGAAGCTCCTTGAAACTAAGTCAATTTCTCCACTTGGGTGTGGAGGGACAGGACTGATCATATGCTGTTATGCTATGCTCAGGCATGGTAATTTGGGCTGCAGACTGCACAACACTTTGTGCATTGTTTGCTTGTTTCTGAAAAGGGCAAGAGAAATAAGTGGGCCTCAAACTTCTTAATGAACCTGCCATATTCACCATCTTCCACTCCATGGCCTTTCCTCCAGCCAGCACTGCAGTCCCGTCCCTACCTGGACAGGGATAACCTGGCCCCAGCAGTCTACACTCTGGTTGCTTCCCAGCTAGTTCACTGAATTACATCCTAGCCGGGAAGCCACTGAAGTCAGTTCAGGAGCTTCAGCTTGTGCAAAATGTAGTGGCCAGACTGATAGCACACACCAGAGAACTTGCACTGGCAGGCTGTATGTTTTCAAGCCTAATTCAAGGGTGAGTGTAGTGTAGTGGCAGAGTGTTCGAATGAGACGGGCAGGTCCATTCGGTCCCAAAGCTCACCGGGTGACTTAAAGGATTGTTGTGAGGATAAAATTGAGAAGAGGAGGAATATGCAAGCTGTCTTGGGCTCCTTGAAAGGAAGGAAAATGTGGGGAAAATATAATCAATTTTTAAAAAGGGTTCAATATACCTGATGGAATGCCTCTCCAATTAAGAACTAACTTCTATATTATGATAGTTATTTATCTTGCTCTGGGTGCCTCCTCTGAGAGCAGTTTGGAGGATGGCAACAAGGGTGAGGGCTTTTCAGTGCTGGCCCCCCAGTTACAGAACATTCTTCCCACTGAAGTCTGCTTGGCACCAACATGTCACCCTCTTTCCACCACATTAAGACTTTCCTCTTTCTCCCAGGCATTGGACAGTATATGATAGGTTTTCAACTGATTCTAGGATTTCTATTGTTGATCATTTAAACATGTAGTATAGAAATGCAATATACTACCCACTGGGTAGTAGAGAAATGTAATTGGTATCATTATCAGTATCATCCTCCTCCTCATCATCATCATCTCAAATGAAATAAGCAATCCAGTACAGATGTGTGAGGCAGAAAACCCACCATTTTCTGAGCGATTGCAAGCACAAAGTATTGGAAGTGGTACTCATGGCGCAAGAGCCACACAGAGGAGGGGGTTAAAGAGCATGATCCAGCAGTCTGGCTCTGGAGCAGATAGTATTTCAGACCCTTCACATCCAGAATGGACACATACTGTAAAATACACAAATCAAATTTGAAGCTGTTACAACTAAACAATATTTGAGGCAGTTATGAATACCAAAGTGCAAAGAAAGTATTTTTTCAGCTGTTCCTAGAAAAGGCATCCATATATACAACAATCAGCTACTGCAGCATCCTACCCATTGTCTACTGGGAGAAATTACAAGTGAAGGCTTCCTTGGAGAGAATGATGTACTTTGTATCACTACTGCCTTCACTATTCACATTTTTTTCTAAAAAAAATTAGGAAACAGCCAGACTCTTGCCCAGCCTTTGATATCCCTTGCTACAATCTGGTTCAAGACAATCAGATTCCAACAGTGAACTATCAATAGTATTCCGTATTTCTCTGGGAACTATCACCTCTTTAAAGGCAAGCCTCATGAGTTTACCTATCGCTGAAAAAAAAGGGGGAGAGCCACTGTGGCGTGATGGTTATAAAGTGTTGGACTGGGGACCTGGTACCCACTCAGCCATGAAACTCACTGGGTGACTTTGGGTCACTCACTCGCAGCCTACACTATCTCACAGGGTTGTCTTTATGAGGATAAAATGGAGCTATGTAAGCATCAACATGCCTCATCTTTTATTTTCATCCCGGCAGCCTTGCTTTGGATTGTAGGAACAGAACACTGGGACCAGAGTCCTCAGCTCTGAACTTTACTGGCAGCAGGCAGTACGGACTACAGTCAAGGCTGGCCACATGTATGCAATGTGGCAAACCCTGAACATTTTACACATAAACACATGAATTTATTTGGGTCTTTGTAATGCCTATTTTCAAGAGTAAGTGTTGAAAAGATACTGCTGGGATATGTTTTATAGGAAATACATGTGATAATCATACTTTCCATATGTGTCCACTATTATACAACATGCTGAAATAATTCATAATGCTGAAATTCCTCCAAGAGACTCGTGTTCATAATCAACCTTCCAAAAGTTTAGAGGCTTTCCCTCATTATTCTTTAAATATTTTCAGTGACTGTCACTCTCCATCAGTTTTACTTGCTCCATAGCTTCTCATTCTTCTACTGACCAATACTTTATCACTGGCACTTCAGTTATTTCCATTCACATGCTACTTTTATTCTTCCTGTAATTACTAAGTAAGATACCACTTCTGTATCAGTACAGCATACACTATTTACTTAAGATACAACAATACAGTATGTGGATCAACATGAATATAGTAACTGGGTTCAGACAACAGGATAACCCACATTTAAGGGTTGAGTATGGGTTGGATGTGGGATGTTATTGCATTGTGGGTTGCTACTTAAACAAGGGATATTCAGTCAAGGCTTGTTAAACACAAACAACCCATAAGGAGAACCCAAGTGAACTGTGGGTTGTTGACCACTGTTCACTCTCTCAGCTAAGTTCAGACAACACAAAAACCCACAGTTCAACAATAGTTCATACTCAACTTATATGTAACACTTGACTGTAAGTTATGTTGTTTGAACACAGTGTTCCTAATATGGTTGGATTCAAACATCATGCTAAACAATGGCTTAGCATGGAAGTTTTCACTTCTGTTTGTCCTGGACAGACTGTAATCAACATTAATTATGGCTAGATTTGAAAAACCAGTTTCATGATTTGAAGCTGGCTTACTTAACATTAACATTGGCTGTATTTAACATCGCACTTTCAGATTCGGATGATGTGACAAGCTATAGTAAACCAGAAATTGAAAAGAAAGCTTCTGAGCACTTCATCTTGACTGTGAGGAAGAAGAGAGAAGGGAGCATGAACATGTAGGGAAAGTGTTAAATCTTGTGCTAACCATAAAATAGTGTGATTCCCCACTGTAACAAATATGTCTAACTGTTAGCCTTCAACAGGGCTCATCCAACACATTCCTGGCTTTACTAGCTGCCTGAAAAATATAGCTAGAAAAAAAATGTAATTGTTGCACTATCATCCAAATGCAGAAAGTGTCCACTAAGGGCTCTTTCCACTCTTGGGCAGACAGAACATGTTCCATAGAGAAAGGCTCGACATAAACAGGTTGTCAAACTAGCAGTACTCACCTTGCCAAGCAGCCCTTTGTGTATGTGGATGCTGCTGTTGACAAGAACAAGGATGGCAGTAAGGAAAGGGAAAGGCGACTTAGAGCCAGCTAAGCTCATTGGGGGCTTGCCTCCAGTGCAACCCAGGGAAATGATGCTGGGGAGTGTTTCTGGTGCAGGGGAACAGGACAAAGGATTGCACAGTGCCGAACATGGCCTACATGGAAAAAGGGAGAGAAGAATGTTACACCCAAGGGCATTGTTTCTACCGAGGAAAATGAAGCAATACAGTTTTTAAAATCCCATATAGTAAGGCACGATCCGCCAGGCACCAAACAGTGGCACAGCATTTCTCTCCTCACAGAACCCCACCCAGACTCTCTGTTGGGCTCCTTCTCCCTCACTGCAGCTCCAGATGCAGCCAACCCTTGCAACATATAGAACGAGGAATCTGGACTGGGTGAGAAGAATGGGAGAACTTGATGTCTGTCTCCTCTGCAGGATCCATCATGTGTTTTGGTGAGAAGTGCACTGTGCCAGACACCTTCCTCTTCCTATGCCTGCTATACTGTACCTGCTCCAGCACAATGTGGCACCAGTTATGGATTTCCCTGTTCCCAGCCTGGGGGACAGATGGTGGGCCATGGGTTCCCATTCAGGGAAAGAGACAGCAGAGGGGAGGTGGAAAAGGCAAGCAACGGTGGGAAGGCTTCATGATGGGGGTGGGGAGACCATGGTACTCTCAGGCCAGAGTCAATGCAAAATTAAGTGACATCTTACACACAAGATCGTTTTAGGGGCTTGTATAAGATGATGGGCCAGAAACTGCCTTCAGCTCAAGAATTTGACGTTTCTTCCCCAGGAGCCTTTCAGAAGCCATGATGTGGGCACATGGGGGCAGCTGAAACAACCCAAAACCTGGAGGAACTACAGGCTCCTTCAGGATCACAGTGTCAATTGCATATAGTTGGCTCAGAAGGGAAAGAAAAAACAGTTGCTGGCAAGTGAAGCTGTGAAGTCACATGGGAGGCTGGGGCAGAAAAGCCAAGGACGACGGGGGCTACAGCAATGCAGTCTGAGTTGGAGAAGCAAGATTGCTCCCAGGAAGCAGCCCTTACACCTGCTCTTGTCAAACAGCTTGATGGCACTTTTCAACCACCATGAAAGGACCCTTTCGGGTTTGGATACACGGGCAAGCTATCATATGAAGCACCCTAAAAGAAGTTGTGGCTTCTCAGGATAGCATATTCAAGAAAAACAAGCCTCTCTGCTGAAAACATGCTGAGTCTGCATAGCACAACAATCCACTGTGGCCGATTGCACGCAGCAAGTTGTCATGTTGTGACAACCAAATCACTGTTGTTTTGCTACAACACATGTACACATGGCTACCTGTCTGGAATGCCTACTACTTAGTGGGATGGCTCTCAACACTGAACAAAAAGGTTCTGCACCAAAAAACCCCCTCATTTTGTGCCAAAAAGCCATATTTTATGACCTGAATAAATAATGCAAGTTAACATGCTTGCTTTGCATAATTTACTCTTATGATGCCTTTGCTAACAAGAAAATTAAGGACTGGAGTATATAACAGTAGAGTTGGAAGGGGCCATGAAGGCCATCAGGTCCAACCCCCTGCTGTTGCAGGACACCAAGTTACACCATCCCACTCAGACGACTGTCCAGTTTCTTTTTGAATGTCTCTAGTATGGGAGAGCCCACCACCTCTCTAGGCAGCTGGTTCCACTGTCATATCTGAGAACAGAGTCTCCCTGAACTATTAGATCAAAAGAACAGCAGTCTCATGGGGCTATTTTAGTTGTCTAGCAAACTGCAGGAGAGCATCATCTCTAATTCCCAAAGGACAAGTACTCCCAGCTTGTTGGCCTGCAGTAGAAACACATCTGAGAATAATGTTACATGAGCTTTTCCCACAGGGCCTGTATGGCTGGCTGGCTGAGGAGAGGAAGCAGCATTGCAGATGTCAAATCTTCTATTTCTTCTAAGCAATCAACAGGATTTACTGATGGCTGTCGGGAAAATGGAAAACAAGAATTTTTATGAAGGCTTTTAAATGAAGTTAGCAATCTATGCCCTGTAATAGTCAAGCATATTGGCTTTCTTTCCCTTTATATTCAGGATGCTTCAAATTCAGATTTTGCTTCACAATGACAACCAGCACAATGATTTGTTACATTGAGTAGAATGCAGATGTCTCTAGCTACATGACCAAATATCAAATGCGTATTTATTTTATTTCAAATAACATTTGATTAGCTGATTCAAGTAACATCCCGAAGATCACCTCAGTATGGGTTGAAAACTATGGGCAACACAGCTTATCCACTCAGCTAGAAGTCTCTTGATGGTCTTTCATTATGAGTAAGGAAAGCCTCACCTGTTGACTGCAGTTACTGTAAAATACCCCCATGTAGAGGAGATAGGCTGAAGCAAGAGGTTGTAGTGCCTCCCAGGCATCTGCCTGTGATATCTCTTTAAGGCAACTTTTCAGGTTAGATTCAACAATGGGCTGGAAACCTGACACCTGACTCCAGGTGACTGCTGGAAGTGGGATCTGGTCACTCCTGCAACATAACAGAGAGGTGAAACCATTACAAGGAAACTTATCCTGCTAATGCCAATTGCCCAAGGAGGCTTCCAAGACTCAAAGAGAATGCATATAAAACTCTAGTGAATGCCTGACAAGATGTTTTGTTACCAATTTACTATGTAAATTGTTTGCAGAACATTAGGAGAAGCATTTTATCTAATATCTCTTTACCTTTAATTGTTATTTCCTGCATTCTTATTATATAACTTCATCCTTCCCCAACTAGGTGCCCTCAAGATGTGTTGGACTACAATTTCCACAATCCTGAAGCCAACTATGCACATCTGAAGGACCCAAACATGGGGAAGCCTAGCTTACTACATCAGAAGCTACTTTGACTTTTTTAATGGACAAAAACAAAATAAATTACAAAGGCACCAGGTCAAGTCATCCAAACTCATACCTGCTGAATTGGGCCTGCAGTTCTGCTCTGCAGCCTGCTGTCTGCGTCACCTGGGTAAGCAGAGTCATCATGGCTGTAGCTCGCTGGATAGAAAGCTCAAAGGTGGGGTTTTTCTCCTGAGCACTGCTGGCCAGCCGAGTCAGAGACTGCACCATCTTCATTAGCACAGGATACAGATCCCTGTACTCAGAAAAAGCAGGGAAGGGGAGAACATCCACAAGACAGGGTGGCATTGACTAACAGTTCAAAATATTTCACTTATTCCCAGCTGAGGCCAAAACACCACTGTCATCAGGTTCCTCATAAGAACACAGTGGACTGCACCTCATTTGCACAGAAGGACTGTTACTGTTAGAGACTTGATAAAAATCAACCATCCTTGCAAAATAATAATAATAATAATAATAATAATAATAATAATAATAATAATAATAATAATAATGATGTCATCACTTATTTTTGGTTTAATTTTCTGCTTTGAACTCAGAGGGAAAATTATTTTGGACTCAGTTCTCTTGGTAGGGTCATTTGCACCTAGCATTATCTACTAATTAAAAAATGGTAATTGGGCATCTATTAGCAATCTGTTATACATTGCGCCAATGTTCCCATTCTCACTTGTGAGTACCAGCTAGAAAAAGCTGGGTCTTCAATGCCTCCCTCCAGTAATGAATGACCTGAAATGCAAGTCCTGTTAAAAGAAGTTAACCAATGGGTGTTGATCTCACAGACACTTCTGGTCCAGCTTCCTTCACGTTACAGAAAAGGAGGCCATTCTGTAACTTCAAAGACAACTGCATGACTATCTGCTTCCTACATCTCTGTTAGACTAACTTCTGCTCTACTTGCTGCAGCAATTGGTTTTATGGCTCAGTAAGAAGGGTCTGGAATCTCTTTCAGCCCAAGCTCCAAATTCTGTTTTGGAGAAGCTTAGTGATGGCAGGAGCAAAAGGGATGGGAGCAAAATACCTACATTTTAGCTTAAAGTTCTTCCTGCCAGTCACAAAACCTTAGACATATTTCATCCTTTTAGAATAGGAAAAAAGACTGCACAAAGGCTAGGAAACCTCCAAGTTATTGTGGAAGGGAAGGGAAATAAAATAAGACCACCTTGTGATGCTGGAGAGCCTTACTGGGCCATCAGGAAGGCCAGATTAGGTCCTCAGGCCTAAGGTTTTTCATTCATAGCTTCAAGATTAATAGAGGTAAATGGATCCTTAATATATGTGGACTCCAATACACATGAATGTGTGAAGGAGATAGTCTTCTTTCACCCCATTAAGCTGCTGCAGCACTTTTTTCAAGCTTTTCCCTCTCTTACTTCCAAAAAATCAATTTCTAAGCAGTAGATAGGACTGCAGGTGGCGCAGTGGTTTAAACCGCTGTGCTGTTGGACTGGTTGATCGAAAGGTCACCGGTTCGAATCTGCACAATGGAGCGAGTTCCCATTGCTCTGTCCCAGCTCCTGCCAACCTTGCAGTTCGAAAGTATGCAAGTGCAAGCAGATAAAAAGGTACCACTTTGGTGGGCAGGTAACAGCGTTCCGTGCACTTCGGTGTTCAGTCATGCCGACCATATGGCCACAGAGACTGTCTGAAGACAAACACTGGCTCCCTCGGCCAGGAAACGGAGATGAGCACCGCCCCCTAGAGTCAGGCATGACTGGACTTAATGTCAAGGGGAAACCTTTACCTTTACCTTTAAGCAGTAGATAGGTAAGGAAATGAAAACAAACAACCACAGTAAGCCTTCTGGCTTTTATGCGAGCAAAGGAATCTCCTCCCTGCCAAGAAGATCTTAAAAACACCAGATCCACTGCCAAGTTAATATCTGACAACCTGGGTAGGGAGTGCAATTTTATTGAACACAAGTTTTGTGGGGGAAACACCAGATAATGACCCATATCATAAGACTGTACCTATAGAGATCGCAGGCTTGTCCATAACCAGCAGCCACAGCCCATAAACGAAATGCTTCCGTGTTCATCTTGATGGCTTCCTCTTTCCTTAGTGGAAGGTCTTTGGGATCTTCAGCTATGAACCGACTCAGTCTACTCTTCATGTCAAATTTATTAAGCTGTAAACAATAAGCCGTTGGCCAAACAGGATGCAAGTTTTGTAGGGGGTGCCTATCCAGGGTGCTAGGAAGAACACCTAGTCACTTACTTAGAAGGCTTTAAAAGGCCATTAGAAAATTTCATGGAGAACATGTTTATTGATGACTATTAGGCACAAGAACTAACTGGAGCCCCAGGATCAGTAGTAATATGCTGCTAAATACCAATTGCTGGTGGGCAAACAGAGGAAGTTCTCATGCCATGTTTGTGACTTTCTAGAGGTATCTGGTTGTATGAAAGAAAAATGTTGAACTAGAAGGACATTTGTTCTGATCCAACAGAGTCCTTCATTTGTCTCCTACACAAGCCCCATAGAACCAGAGTTAAAAATGAGCATTTTCTTTTTAAGCATTAGTCACTGGCCTTACTTGGCATGAAATACCCTATGACTTTCCTTCCTTTCCCCCTTGCCTTCTGCCACCCCTAGTACGCTCCTCTTCCCCCCCGCCATACATGCTTTTTAAGAAACCTCAGCTTTAAAGTTTTGCATTATCTCAGTCAAGCATATAATTTATTTCTATTGCACAATATTTGAATGTTTGTGTGTGCATCTCATTAGCTAGAGAATGCCAGCAAGCTAGCAGCAGAAAAAAATTGTAATCAGCCATTTTTTTTTTCTCAGAGTTATCTTTCGTTCATTCCATTTTTGCCCTTTCTTAACTAGCTTGAGTGGAGAAGTTCCAAGTAAACACAATCCTTACCAGCCTGGCGGCTACATTTCGCCCTCCAGATGCTAAGACTCTAATTAGTTTCATCGCAGTGGCACATGGAACCCCATGTAGGCTTGTGAGCAACTGCCCAGGTTCAGCTACTTTTGGATTCCACTGGATGGGAAGGAACTCCCTGGTGACAGTCTCAATCAGACGAGGGCAATCCAGGACCTGCAAACACACAGAGAAAGCACTGCAGCAGCACAAAACCACTTGTTTTTCTGTGAAGTAATGCAAATTTTAGTCATCAGGCAAATTGTATTATTTACTGACTGATTCATTTCTAATACACACAGTAAATAAGGTTCTCTGGGCAGATTATGAACATTTAAAAGTCTAATATACCATATAACCATTAAAATATAATAAAATATTTTAAAGAGTGCAACACAACTGACAGCAATCAATAGGGATGCTTTAACTTGGTGTCCTGCACTGAGCAGGGGGTTGGACTCAATGGACTTCTGGCTCCTCCCAGCTCTAACATTCTACAATTCTATGAACTGAATGCAAAACAACAAACAGCACAGGAACCTATGAAAATCTAGAACGAGGTCTTTAAAATGCTAAGAAGAAAAGAATGGCCTCTGCCTAGTGTCAGAAAGATCACAGAACTGAAAGGGGCCATGAAAGTCATCGGATCCAACCCCCTGCTGTTGCAGGACACCAATTTACACCATCCTACCAGATAATAATGTCCATGCCAGGCAAACCTTCTGGGAGAGTTCCTTCCATAAATGGTGAGTCACAACGGAAAAGACCCTTGGTTAAAAGAAAGTGAGATACTCATTTGCAACCTCTTTACTCCCTCTTTACCTCTGCTTATTCACACTTGCTCTGGCCCAGCATTCACAAACACAGGTACCTACCTGACAGGATGCTTCAGTGGAGTGCCTTGCTACGTGAATAAGAATATCTAGAATCTCCAGGACTACCAAAGGCACAGGTTGCATCACTTCCAGAATGTATCTCATGCGGTGAAGAATCCTGGTTTTCAGAAGTCCCTTGGGGAAAAACGAGTAGTAGTAGACATCATCATCATCATCATAACAACAGCAGCAGCAGCAACAACAGGAACAATCTGGATTATTTTTCATTTGATACTGATCAAATGATTTTTCATTTGATTTTTCATTTTTTAAAGTGATGTTTAGCATCTTGCATCAAGAAGATGCAGTGCCCTTCTCTACAGAGGGGAAGCGCTAGATCTGAGAAGATGGCGATTGATGGCTACACATCCAACATCACTTGAATGTATATAACAGCAACACAGACTGCACATCAGAGATGGCGCCGTATCCCCTAGAATGTTTTCCAGTGAGGCAACCCAAATATATCTATAGGGATTTTTCCTACTCTTCTGCTCATAGTTTCTTGAGGTATTCTCTTGGAGTATTATTACGAAGACAGATGAAATATAAACGGGACTTGGAGGATGAATTGTCCTCTGTTTTCCCATGCCAAGAAGCAAATTACATTTTCAAGTTGCCTATCTCTGTATTACTAATAGAAAAAACACAGATAAACTCCAAGGTACAGAGATGTGTGCTACATTTTAGGCAACATCTCTCCTGAGCTTATACTTTCCACTGCAGAACCCCACATGTGCGATTCAGCAATGCCAGCACTTCAGTAACCATAGCCGCCATTTCATTTACAGCACAAACTTCTTTTATAAATGTTCAATACAAAGAATATACAATTCCATAAAAATGACCCAGTGACATTTTTCCTGCCAACTAAGAAAAAAACACATTCTAAACTTTTCCAAAATGCCTGTTTTGTTTTCTACTATTCCTTAATTTAATACACCTTGTTTAGCTACACTGAAATATACAACATATTGTAATAGTTACTTCTCAGTATCTAGAATTTTATTAGATCTTTGTTATTTAGTGCAGTATTTTCTGTGCTGCTACCAAATCAGTAACCATTATATTCCCTTAAATTATACAATGATTTCCTGATTAAACATGTATCATTACAGATTATTTGATTCAATCCATTTCAAACCCATAAGACATGCTTTTCCCCAGGTCGTATTAGGCTTTCCGTGCACTAGATGCTCGTTTCTTGCACGGCTATGGAAATGCTGGAAATCCAACACCAAAGCCATCAGCTACCTGCCAGGTAGATGGAGAGGCAGGAGCAGAGGCAATTATACCTTGCAGCTGAGAAAAGAAGTTCTGTTGGACTAAGGGTATAGATCCTCATGCCTGGCAGCCAAACCCAGTCTGCCTTTGCCCTGATCCAGTACAGCTTATGTTCTTAATGGGGCAGGCTTGATTTCTTTTGGAGCTCAATGCACAACACACACACACACACACACACACCCCTCACTTCTAAGAGCCACCCATTCTTCTTCTCTTTGTGTTTTCTTCTGGACTGCCCAAAAGACAAGGACTCCACAGCTTAAAACTGGCTGTTTAGAGCAGGCCATGAACTTGTGACTGCTTACTGCAGAGGCTGTTCATTCAGTCAAGAACAAATATCCCCTTCTGTGAGTACTCATGAATGTGCACACACCAACACACACAAACACATTCACCAACTTCAAAATAACTTTCTTTGAGTGGATAAAGAGGGAGAAGATAGATAGTGCTGCTGTCTCGGGATCACTGGGTAGCAAACAAGGAGGAAGCATTAGATTTTAAAATGGTATGTCAAAGACAAAAGTTTAGTTTTGACTCAGCAAACCTCTTCAGCTTAGGATACAGTAATGGGCTTGAGTGTGTAGTACATTAATTTTTTACATTAAAACATTTTATATACATTACTTTTTATCAGTATTCTGGATGTTTACCTTTACAACATCATACCGTGCCACTTCTGGATCTGGCTTGTTGTCATCCTTTGATTTTCTCTCCAGGGTCTTTTGGATGAGAGTTTGTTCAGTGCCTTCATCTTCATCCTCCATCTCTTCTTCTTCCTCTTTGTTTGGGATAAAAGGATGGACAAACATGCCCTGGTACCATGAGAAAGTCTTATCAAGATAGTACTGGAAGTAAATGAAAAACAAGAAGTGGTTAGTGGAAAGAGGAGAGGTATCTATAGCTAATGTAGAGTACAGGTCAAGCATAATTGGCTGTTGACTGGATTATACTTTTACTAGTTCAAGGAATTTGCCCTCCTGCCCCTTGGGATCAGCAGCAGAGGCTCTCCTCCGGGATCCCTCCGTGAAAGATATTAGGAGGCAAAGTACCCAGAGGAGGGCTTTCTCTGCGGCGGCACCCCATCTGTGGAATGCGCTCCCCAGAGAGGTCCGCCTGGCGCCGTTGTTATTTGTTTTTCGGCGCCAGGCCAAGACCTTTTTATTCAAACAATATTTTAATAATGCTTAATATTTATAGGTTTTAATTGTGCAGCCAGTGTGTTTCCGGGTTTTAACTGAAATTGTAATTGTTATTGTTTTGTATTTATTTATTTTTGCAAGCCATCCCGAGGCTATGTAGCAAGGGGACAGCATATAAACACTTATTTAAAAAGAAAAAAAAAAAGAATTAGGTGGGGATTCCTTGTGCTCCCACTGAACAATAATACTTAATGTCAGTTGTTATTGGACAACTGGATTTCAATAGTATGTTAAGTATGACTAACTTCTCTTATTTTGTTATGTACTCTGTGGGTTATGAATCTTAGAAAAGAAAAATGTTTGGGGCAGTTGCAATTTATTATTTGTTTCAGTAGATTTGTTTCATTAAAAGTGTATAATTCCTATAGAATAACATCAATTCTCATTTTCCAAAGAGCCCCTGACATTAAGAGAAAATAGAACAACTTATACTGACCTGACCAAAGTTGCTAAAATGCAGGTATAATTCCCCTGAATAATTGTTCCAAAGTTGAACAAAAGATTACCTGTTGCCTGAAAATAACTTGTGTTTGTTGTCAAGCTGATCTTATTCATTCAACAACTTTCAAAAACTTCTATCTCTCTTTAAAGCAGTTTTCTTTCATTGTGCTTTCTCCAATTAATATGATTTTCACAGTATGTTAACTATTACCATCCCTTGAAAGTGATCATTTTACATCTACTATGTAATCCATATATTTCCAAAATATTTACTAATGAGGTGAGAGAATTACCTAACTTTTGTCACATGCTTAAAAGAAACTATAGAAGCTTAATCAGCACACGCAAATACAAAGCCAACCAAATAGTAAAATGAATGGCTGCTTTAATGTAGGATGCTTAAAAGACTAAGTTGCAAAACAGGCATTACTTTAAATGTGTGTCTATTAGCTATACATTCTTATGGTAATGTAGGCACAGGAATACGCATCTAGATTGGGCTTCTGTGTCCAGACTAGAATACAAGTAAAAAGAAGATACATCACTGCTAGTGCAGAGGTGCACAACTTGCACCCCTCCAGATGCTTGGGTCTCCAAGTCCTATCAGCCATATGATGATGGATGCTGGGAGTTACAGGCCAAAACAGCCAGAGGGCCACAAATTGCCTACCCCATGTTGGACACACATTTAAAGTAACACCCATTTTGGCTCTCAGGGCAACACAGATCCATCTTGGAATAAGGAAATCTAGTTCCACAGTACAAAAAATCAAAGTATGTTAAATGGGATCATGCATTCTATAGATAGAAACCTCATCGTCTGCAGAGACCAGTAGTGCATGAAGGGCATGGACTGCAGCTGCAATGACGTTCTCCACTGGATCATCCAAGGAAAAACGGAGCAAGAAGAGGAAACCAGCATCAAGCAACACTTGCAAGACACTTCTTTTCAGCAGGGAGGCAAACTCTCCGGCCTTAGCCTGAAGGTCACATTAAAATAAAGGAAGATTACTTCAGACAGAACTTGCCAGTGTTACCTAGGCACACTTTGTTGAATAACCTTTAGCCGTACTGGAGATGCTACAGCAGGCTTCCCCAAGCTGGCACACTCCAGATGTTTTGGACTTCATCTCCCATCAGCCCCTGCCAACATAGTTAATGGCTACAAATGCTATAGTCCAAGCCACTGGAGGATGAGTCCCATACTTCTGCAGGCTGGGAGAAGGTGGCACTATATCTAAGCTCCCATGCTGCTTGGAAGTCAGTCCAGGAACTGGAGCAACTCTGGCATGGGAAGTAGTCATTGGACAGGCTCTTCCCACAGGCTCTTGGACACCTGACATAATGTGCAACATGGTAAGTTCAGCAGCACCCAAAGGAACCTTATGTAAGGCTTAAATTGGATGTATACAACTATAGGTAACTTAAAACCATCCCTAAAGGAGGCGAGAGGGACGGCCGCTAGGAGGAGGGCCTTTTCTGCAGCTGCTCCCTATATCTGGAATGCTCTCCCCAGAGTCGCCTGGCACCTTCCTTACACTCTGCTCGGCACCAGGCAAAGATCTTCCTTTAAAAAAAATGTTTTAATAATTAATGCCATTTGGCCTTTGTTTTGTAATTCTGCCTGTATTTTATCGGTATTTTATTTTTAATAAGGTGTAATCGGGTTTAATTGTGATATTATCTTGTGCTTCTGAGCTGTCCAGAGGTGCTGTGGCATGATTGGGTGGCATATAAATGTTTTAAATAAATAAATAAATAAATAAAAACCGCTCCTGCTATTTTCTGGCTTCAGTTCTTTAAATTCTTTTTTTTTTTAAACTAGGCTTTTACATTCCTTTCTTTAACATTATCTTTTACATTCTAGTCTTCTGCAAAACGCATACGGTTATAGGGACACAATCCATCTCTTGAGAGGTTCACAAATGAAACTGCTGTGCATGGCATGGCAAATACACCTCTCGCCCCTGCAGGAACATTCTTCCCTCATCTGATTTCGCACTGTACTTCAGAAGCACTCACAGTCCCTGAAGTGCAATGGCAACTGCCTTTTGCCTGACCCTGGAACTCCAGCAAGATGTGGAATGGATGGCTGAAGTTACACTGACTTTGGCCCATATTTTAGAGGCAATGCAGAATCAGAGACAGGGCCTCATTCACATCCTTTATCCGTATCACAAATAATGATAGCCTACCAGTAGGCGCTAAGCTTGCGGATTTAACCATTTTTTAACATAAGTATGGTCAACATTTCAGACAAGATTCATAACCTTAGCTCATTGATTTAAAGCTTTGGGTTCAATCCTGTGCAAGCTGGCAAGGGAATGCTGGGAACTGTAGGACTTTTTACCTTTACCTTAGTACCTTTATTGTCCTAATCTAGCCATTTCTAAACATAGTATGTCAACTTAATCATATAAGAAATATCCAACTTCCTAATTAAAACAACACAATTAATAAATGGGAATTTTTTCTGTAATTTTACCATTAGTAGCTTTGGCAGAAGTGAGCAAATTAAATTACTTGTCACTTCTTTGTTTCCTAACCTGCCAATCCATTCCCATATATGTTTATTCAGAAATAATCCCCAATGAATTTCAATGGATCTTGCTCTAAGATAAGCAGGGATAGAATTGAAACCCGGATCTCTCAGGCTAGCTAATAACATGACTGAGAGATAATAACTAGAACCAACTAATATGATTTCAGTCATTTTAATAACATCCTTTCCAAGCCGCTCTGTACCTGGACAGAGACATCAAACATAATAGATCCATGCACAAGTTCAAATAATATTGAATTACTGATTCATCAGGAAGGAACTTTAAAGCAGTGTTTTCAATGAATTACTCATTTAAAGATAGGCACAGAATAGATCTCTGTGATATACACCATTCTTTAGCTCAGTGAAAATACTACTTTGGAGCATACTCTTTGGGTAGCTATGAATACGATCAAAATGTCTTAGCTTAAACAATTTGCTGGGGCCAAATTGGAAATCAAAGGTCACGCTGGTGATTTGACAATAGGTAGCCTGCTTATATAAGGTCAGAGAAACTTAAGCTGTTGCCATCTTGGCACTTCCATTCCCCCCATCACATATGCTAAATGAAAGCCAATGAGTGCCTATTAAAGAACAGATGAAAAGGATCAGAATTCTGTATGAAGGTTAACTTACCTTCTGGACAATATGGCCCAGCACCTGTAAAGCCAGAGTCCTTTGCTGAATGACTTGGCTGCGAGACAAGTGGAAGAGTTCTTGGAGTGAGTAGCCAGCCCTCTATTTAAAAAAAGGAAAAGTAAAGAAAATTCAAATAGGGTCATTATGGTATGGAAAACTACATAAACCCCAGGTTTAAGGAAGAATCGACAGAACACTGACAGTCAGACAGCCAATGAGACTGCGGATAGCCTCTTGTGCTCAAGATTATTTGTCCCTTACTTCTGCTTCCTCTCCATGGTGATGCAGACCCAAATGTGTAGGGAGGTCTTTATCTGGGGGAATAAGTTCTCCTTTGAGGCTGAACCGTGCCTGCATTCCCTATTGGGGAAAGAAAGAAGGAAGATGATTATCTTAACTGCCTACCAGGCATTTTAAAACTTGGATGCTCACATTTTATTTATTTATTTACAGTATTTGTATATAGCTCCACATTAAAGCAGATTCTGCAGTTGTGAACATTACAATGTTAAAGCAAATAACATAATAAAAACAATGCATTAAAAACAAGCCAACATTAAGATTGTGGTTGGGCTGCAAGAACCAGACTCAAGAACCAGACATCCACAGGACTCCTATCTTGCCAGGAGTCAGCTTTGGTTTACTGTCTCATTCAACTCATCACTGAGTTCCAAAATTGATCTGGGGCTTGTACACCCTCTTTTGATTCAATGATCAGAAGAATGGGGGGGTATGTCATTAGCATACTGAAAGCACTTGGCTCCAAATTCCCTAATGACTGTTCCCTGTGGCTTCATAAACATGTCAAACATTGATGGGGCAGGATAGTACCCTGCATAATGCCATAGCTCAATTGCCAGGGTCTGAGGCACAGTCACCCAATGTAACTCTCTGAAACAGACCCCACAGGTAAGACTGGAGCCACTGTAGCACAGTGTCTCCAATACCAAAGCATGGAGTCAATCCAGGAGGATGCTGGGACTGATGGTATCACAAGCTGGTGAAAGACTGAATAGAATTAACAGCATTGCACTCCCCAACCCCACAGTAACTGAAACTGAACCCAAAAAAATGGACAAATGGCAAAGTTAGGCACCTCAGCTTGGAGCTGTACTATCAAGTTTGCTGCAGGGACAAGTGATCTTGTCCTCTCAGTGTGATGCAAAAGTCACAGCACATCTCTGAGAGTCTCAATCAAAGACTCCTGGACCACCCAAAAGAGCTCTTTGCTGTCTACAATGTCATGCAAGAGGCCTGACTCTTGAGCAAGTTCAGTTGTCTTTGTTTGAGTCTTAAACTATTTGCACCCTAACCAATGTCCAGCCTGTTTCATCAGCCATGGGTTCCCTACAAACCAAGCAGCAGAGAGGCCTCTACAGCAGTGGAAACAGCATTTGGGTGTGACTGTTTGGCTCTCTGCATCTCACCATTCCACAATGAGACTGGATCACACTTCTGTTTGCTGGGAAATCCCCAAGGATATTCAGAAATCCACTGGATTCCATCAGTCCCCAGGGGCAGGTCATCTGAGCACAGGAGAAAAGTAGTGGTACCTTACCAAATCTAGCAGGAGATAGGTCCCTTAACGCTATTACTCAAGCCAACTCTTAAAATTAGTTGATGATCACATGCACAATGGAAAGATAATTGGAAAGCAAGAAAGAAGAAATTACATTTTATTTTCCAAACCTTTTTGGTTTTTTTCTGCCGAGGCTGGGGCAGGTCCTTCATCCACTCCAGCTTCTCAAACTCTACACTGTCCATGTGGAGCCATTCTTTCTGAGGCTTCACAGGAAGGTCACTATCTTTTTGAAAAGGCAAACACAAATGTTATTCTTTAAAGAAGGCACATCACTATTCTTTACCAGAATTGCTTTGAAAAGTGCTTCAAATACCATTTTTGCGGCACAACAAGGAGAAAGAACCCCTAGACAAACTGAAATTGACTGATCATCAACTCATACACATCAAAGGTTCACCAATAATTGAATCTTCCATAATGATCTAGAGAAGAAAAGTGGATGACACCATTAATAAAATGCACAGATAAAATAAAGATGAGTTGAATAGCAACTTGGATGTGGAATGAATACAGTAAGATTAGAAATCAAGAACAGAAAATGGAATGAGACTAATGCTGCATTCCAACAATGACTGTAGGATAAAGGGATATGACAATAAAAGATGCAAAAAGGAAAATGTGATACTATAGGCAAATAATGGTGTCAAAAAGCAAGCTTGATGTTTGTGGGGTTAAGATGGCAAGGGAATGGGGGAACTACTGTGTGGGTTTCCCAGGGAGCTTTTCATACACCCAACCAGCACATAGAAATGTTCTTTTGTCCCTTGTCTTTTTCCAATACTTGCAAATTAGAAGTTATATTTGGGAAATAGTTAGGGGAATAGACATAGCTAGGTTTCATGCTTTTTTCAAGAAGATATTCTACTCAAGCATAGAGAAAGAATTATTGTCAAAAGTATTCACAGTATTATTAAGTATATACACTAATGGAGCAGAGGTAACACAGAAGTGGGAAAGAACATAAATGTTTCAGAGGAACAATGGAATTACATTGGTTCAAAAAAACTGTAGGAATGTACTCGATGTGACTTCTAGGACAAACTTTTATAAATTAATATGCGTTAAGAACTCCACTTTCTGGTGTTCTGTGTCTGATTCCATTTGGCCAAGAGGAAGTATCACCCAGTACTGCAACTACCTGCACTTCTGCTATCTCAAAATGCCTCTCATCACCAAGGCCAGAATCCAGTTGTGCTACCTGGAATTACTGCAGCTGTGCTCCCCTGCAAACTCTCCTGTCATGGGGTTTTGCATTACTTCATTCAGTCTATGATTGGCTAAATAAGATCCTATTTGAGTGTTCAGCGGTTTAAGCATACACATAAAAGTCTTGGAGCTGCCTCTCTGTCTTTATCCTTATGCTTCTATTTGCTTTCAAGTTTGTGGTTTTTTGGATCCTATATTGGGTCCCATCCTATTAGAAGAGCCACACACAGGTAACCTGTTGACAGTTCGGTGTTATTTTTGCCTTAAGTATAGTTTCCAAAGATTATTGTGGTTTCTGTTTTCCTTTTACCCCTTTCCATGTTCCTTACATAAATAAATGTAATCTCTCCCTTTAGAGCTGGGGGTGCTTTCTTAGAGGTAAGTCCAGAACCTAAATCCAGAACCTACTTGGCTATTTCCTTCTATTAATTGTTTGAGACTTGTGAAAAAGACACGGTATTACTGGCTGTAAGGAGAATCATTATACATACCATTCCTAGTACAATGGAGCAGGATTTGGACTGCCAAGGTGATAATGAAATAAGAAGTGGGAGAGAAGAATAAACTCTATCCAGTCTTTTCAAAAATGTTGAATACCATTTATCAATTATGGGAATAGGTTCTGGCCAGGTAATTAAGCAACTACAACTATGCTAAATAATATGGCATTATATTTTCACTATCTTTAATAGTGTACTTCTCCATTATGCTAACAGAGCAAGTTTTGTCAATTTGAGGGAGGAGGGTAATTTGAATATTAGGGTTTAGGGATCCGAAACAGACTAGGATCAGTCTGTTTCTAGTCTGTGAAAACTATCAAAAATTCCACATGTATTCAGTCATGACTTAATTCCCTCTGATTATCTGCAAATTTAAAATGCATACAAAACTTGAATGTCTATGTATTTTCCCATAAAATACTGTTTTAATATATTTCCCCATAAACAAGCAATTTTTAAGCATCTTTTTGTACACGTATTTTGAGTCAGGGATAGTTCCATGCATGTAGGAAATGCAAATTAAGTCTGTTTGCTCAAAAATACAGACTGAACAAAATTCTTCACCATCTCTGTTTGATAAGCATACAGTGAAATTTATTTAATTAATAAAGCTGCTATAACATTGTGGCTAAAGAACTGAGTTGCCATTCAGGATTTCCCCAAATTTAATCTCACAATGGGAGCTTGGGCAAGCTAGTTTCAATCTCAGTCTCTCTCCTTCCTTCCTGCAATGTGGGGAATAATAATACTGACTTACCTTATAGCACTGTTATAAGAATTAGAACCCTCATCCCCAGAGGTCAGAGCTATGAGACTTTAAAAGTGTAATCTATCCAACCACAAGAGATGTCAAGCCCTAGGACAAACCAGAAAAAATGGGAGGGGGCTTTTTGTTATTTTTTTAAGGACCATTTTTGCTCCCCTCTCAAATTGGCAAAACTAAACAGGTTTGGATTATGAAATATTTTCTATTAGAATAAATAGAGAAAACACAGTATTTATATATTGCTATCTGGCCCTTACACTTCACAAATGCTTACTAAACTAAATAATGAGGTTTTTATGGAAAGATTAGAAATTCAATATTTCTAGAAATAATGATGCCATAGGGAAAACTTTTTTAAATCCTAAAATTCCCAGCACAGCTATTTCTTTCATTCCTTACTAAGAAAATACTTAATGAAAGTAAGTACTTTCCTTACTGAAAGTATTATTATATTGTAGTTATTTAAAGATGCTCCAAGTAACATTCAATTTCCCAATACCCCATACTTTATACAAAAGTATTGTGCATTCTTGACAGTTTGAGTTCTGTTCTATAAAGTCCTATGTTTCTAGGCTTATTCTGCTTAGATACTGTAGGAGTCAATTCATATTCTTCCAACCTAAGACCCACATAGGTTATCTCACTACTATCATCAAATGCAAGAGATCACCATGTTAGTTATGTTAACCATGTCAGCTTTTTTAAAAAATAAATTTGAGGCTTGAGTCTTCTTGCCTCAAATGATGTCATTACAGTTCTGAATTAAAACTCACCAGTAGGAAAGGCTGCCTCCGTTCTAACACCTTTTAATTGCTGCCAGAATAAACCTTCTCTTCCTAAAAGAAACTGAATAGCCTGGGTTTTTATGACACAGGCATGGGAATGACTCTCACACTATGGGCAATCTTTCAAAATGAACAAAAAAAGGTGCATTTACATTGTTTATGAAAGTGAATAAAACATCAATCTTCAAATAGGCTGGCATTAAATTAAATTAAATTAAGCCAATTAAATATGGTTGCTTACCATTCTTAAATCTTTTCCCAGCTAAATAACATCTCAATAGCTTTTCTTTCAGAACAGATTTTCTTAAGCATCACCCTAAAAACAGGAACAGGTTGAAAAATCTTCCTAAACTTCCTTATAAACAGTAGCAGATGCAGTACTCCAGCTTTCATCTGCCTCCAGTTCTTCCTGCTTCTTCTGCCTTCTAGGAAGGTTTGGAAGTTTCTACTTGAAGTTATTTCTGGTCAGACATAAAATAGGAACATGACCTATATTATGCCTAAGTTGTTTTGCTCATAATATTATAATATTTCATAAATTAAATGAAAAAGTATAGTTTATTCAGCCAATAATTACAAATGTGCAGGCAGCACAATCTAATGAGGATTCAAGCATTCTATGGAGGGCAGGAAGAGCATGGAGGCATCATCTGGCCAGGGTGACTTATTTTATATTGTTATTTCTTATATTTTAACCTAATGTTGTGAGCCTCCCCGAGGCTTCGGCGAATGGGGCGGCATAGAAATGTTTTAATAAAATAAATAAATAAATAAATCTCTACATTTCTCCCATGTTGTCTAAGTCCTGACTGCCTGAATCTTTTGCCCCCGAGCACAAGGAGAGAAGGCCGAGACCCCACCAGGATATCATGCACACTGGCAGCACCTGACCTCCTCCTTTCCCTGCCTCACCGCCTTCCTCACCCACACACCATTGCCTCAGAGCTGCAGCCAGAGTGGCTCTTTGCAAGCCCGCACTGAGACTGGCTTGGAGGTGGCTTGAGGGAGGCTGCTCTAGCTTCAGAGGTCAGAACCCACTTCCAGGGTCAGAGCTGGGTCTCCAAAATCTCTTATGACCACTAAACAGTAGCCACAGGAATACACCCTAACTGAATTTAAAAGATAATGTTATAAGCAAACCGAGTTATAATGTGTATTTTCAAAGGAGCCATCCTCAATCTGGTGCTCTCCAGATGTTTTGGGCTTTAACACCCACCTTTCCTGATCAGTGGCTATGCTTTAGCTCCATCGGGAAAGCACCAGGTTTGGGAGACATCCCAGTTTTTTAAAAATCCAATCTTAAGAAATACAATTAAAATCAGGAGATGCAGGGAGCCTAATAAGTACCAACTGAAGAGACTATAGACACCATGAACCCAAGATTATGTACGTATTAAATTTATACCCCAGCCTTTATTTTTATTTGAAACATTGATATGCCACAAGCACTCAAGGCGGCATGCACAATACTTCTCCTCCTGCTCTCAATCTTATCCCCACAACAACAGCTCTGTAAGGTAGGTTGGTCTGAGAGGGCTGACTGTGTGTCACTGGCCCTGAGTCACTCAGTTGGCTCTATGTCTGAGTGTGACTACAACCCAGATTGCCTGAGTCCCAGTCTTAACCCCTACCTCACACCAGCTTTGTATAATGCATGTGAAGTGCTCTGAATATTTAAGAGCATTATACGAATGTTATGTATTCTTGTTTAAAAATATAAAGCACTAAAAACAGCCATTTCACCACACCGATACCGATTCCAGGCTAAACAGATTGGCCTGAACTGAAGATAGACCAAGAATGTAGCTGTGCAAATCTGACATCAGAATCTACCTGCCACAGCCTGAAGTACAATATGCTCCACTTCTAGATTTCCAGGAAAGAATGCGTCAGAGTGTGAAGGAAGAAGAAACAGCTGAAAACTGAACTCATCAACTATTTGCTATTCGTCAAGAATTTGCTTTTT